TATATTACACATATTAACACACACACACTCACACACACACACATATATATATATATATATATATAAAATTTAACAAATTATTAAATAGCTAATTTACATATAATTATAATATAATATTATATTATAATAACATTTTGACCAGTTTTATATTAAATTTTTCCTTACTTACATTTTCAGAATGGTGGTTAGGGGTTTGTTTAAATCATTAAACCGGTATAAGAACAATAATAATTGTGATGCATGTCTCAAATACCCCTAATAATGCTTATAATTTGATCGATTTACTTACGATCAAACTTACCCGCACTTCCAGCCAGAGAGTTCAGTGCTGTTCAGGATCGACATGCAACTGAAATAAAACAAGCCAAATGATCCATATTAATGAAACCAAATGATAGGGAGCTTATTCCTCTTTGTCAAATGAACTATTAATATCTTTATTAACAGTACGTTATTATTAACAATAGTGCATTATTATCCATCTATGTGGGAACTTTGTGTTGTTCACACCTGGTTTTGTCCAGCAGGAGATCCGGTTTCAGCAGCAGAATGTTGTACCTACAGGACAGAAATATGAGTCACGCCGCAGGAAATCTGACGTAATGAGCTCATAAAATGTCAGTTTTCCCGCCTGCACACGAACCTCTCTGCAAACTCCCTGAACTTCGGACGCCACGAGAAACCGTCCCGCCGGATTCGGATGGTTTCCATCAGGCCGTTGTATCTCAGCTGCAGAGGATGGAAAGAGAAAATCAGATTATTATCAAATTGTTTATTTAATTAATACATTACATAAATATAATAAATTTATGTATGTATATTATTATTGTAATATGTGACCCTGCAGCACAAAAGCAGTCTTAAGTCGCTGCGGTATATTTGTAGCAATAGCTGAAAATACATTGTATGGGGCAAAATTATAGATTTTTCTTCTATGCCAAAAATCATTAGGATATTAAGTAAAGATCATGTTCCATGAAGATATTTTGTAAATTTCCTACTGTGAATATATCAAAACTTAATGTTTGATTAGTAATATGCATTGCTAAGAACTTCATTTGGACAACTTTAAAGATGATTTTCTCAATATCTTGATGTTTTTTGCTCGATCTCGACCAAATATTGTTCTATCCTAACAAACCATACATCAATGGAAAGCTTATTTACTTATGTATAAATCTCAATTTCGAAAAAATTGACCCTTGGTTTTGTGCTCCAGAGTCACATATATAATTGTATAATATACATTTTATTATATATTTTATTTTATACGTACACACACATATGTATATATACAATTAAATTGTATATAAAATATGTATATTATATAGAAATATTATATACATAACATTTATTATATATAAAATATATATTTTCTGTTAATATAAAATGTAATAAAAGCATACATAATAAATATTTCAGTTAATAGAAATAATAATTAGTTATATATGCATATTTTTTATTAAATATAAAATATAAATATCTATTATAACAAATATCCATTTTATAATAGTTTTTATTATATATGACATGTATATTCATTATATAAAAATATACATTTTTAATTTAATATATAATACACATAATAAATATATGAATTAAACATTTAATAATCAGAATTTATATTACGTATATATTGCGCATTATGTATTACATTTCATATTAAAATAAAAAATATGTTGTTTTATTCTATATTATGTGATATATAATATCTATTATTCTTATAGGCTGCAAACTGCACTTCCACAAATGTCCAGCAGGTGTCAGTGCTGCACAGTCATACAGTTTTGCTGATGTACATTCCTAGGCTGTACATCATCTGACCATGTGACTTAATAGCTGTTTATGTGTAAACATACATGCACAGATAGACACAAACTGCATCATTTGAACAGGATGGACCGATCTTACAGAAAACAATAGCTGCTAGTTGCTTATTACTTACTACTATTAGTAACCATCCAGAACACTAGAAACCACTAGGCAGCACCCTAACATAGTGGTGGACTAATATCTACACAACACAGAGCTTATAGTCAGTGTTAAAATCTACAATGTGTCATTGAACTAATAGCTCCAACAAGATAATGGCTTAATAATACAGTGAGATATATTCATATTGGCCCTTAAACACAAATTTAGCGGCTCCTGTATCATTAGAGGGATTTGGATTGAGCTCCATCATAACAGCATTGAAAGGCTTGCAGGTTTAAGTATAGCTCACAGAGCTCAGTCTGCACCGGAGGGCAGGAAAATCTGAGAATGCATTCAGCTCCACAGTGGAACATAAAAGAGGCCACAGACAGGGCCGAACACTGCGGAGCTCTCAGTTTAACCCACCTGATCCATCACCAGTTTACTGTCCAGCTGATCGGGCTGCTTGCTTCGGTTGGGTTTGATGCACCGAACAAAGTGTGGACTGGCCGCAAACATCTTCTCCATGAGGACAGCCAGAGAATGCTGCACGGAAAACAACACACAGACAGTTCGGCTGCAGGGTCACACACACGAGTGAGAGTCAGAGCTGAGTTACCATGAAAATCACAACGCAAAAGATCTTAAACGGTCCAAGAAATAGACTTCACTTTACGAAAATAACATTTATCTTCATTATGGGGTGAAATTTATAGAAAAGGGTTTTCCATCAGAGAATACAAAAATACAGATAATTAAATAAAGGTAATTTTATCTCACAATTCTGGAAATTCTAATCATAATAGTGAGATATATATATATATATCAGGGATGGGAAGATTCCTCGATTCACTCGGTGCATCGGCAGAAAAAGTTAACGATGCGATGCATCGGTTTAAAAAGTGTGCATCGGCTACAAGTTGGCATTTATATCGCGATGCATCGTTTCTAACATATTTGCATCGGTAAAAACCGATTTATTAATATATAATTACTAGTGGATGCGCTATACTTTTATTGTTTAGAAAGTGACCAATAATCTGTGACCAATTTTATATGTAGATTGATTTCTCCTCTCCAAACTGTTTCTCAAGCGCGCTCTCTCATCACCGCTGCTGCTGCGTGAATATGAGGCATCACAACACTACAGAGACCTGAGGAAAAACTGGGATTAAAGTCCAAAACCTGACTTGAAATAACCTAACAAATCAATCGGGGCTAAAGCGGTTCCATAAATGACAAATTAAGTTCACACAATCTCACTAATTTGTGCACGCTTACTCTTAAGCAGCTCTTAATGTCGATCTTGGATCAAATCGATCCACCATCGCAAACAGCGAATATATCTGTGCTGTTTAATGCATTTGAGACGTTGTGATTTCTACATAACTGACATGTCACAAGTATATTTTTTCATCTGTAAATGTCAGAAAGTCACGCAAACATATCCATTTTGCTGTCAGGAGTGAACGAGGCACGCGAGTGAACGAGCGCTGCTGTAACTAAACAGACTGAGCGCAATCAAATAGGAGCGCAATAATTCTGAGTAAAATACATTTTGCTAAAATATTTGTTGTTGGACATTAAATGTGTCTTTTGTAGAATTTTAAACCTACATATAAGTGTATTTTTATTTTTATGATAGCAGTAACTGTAAAGGGACTATTATAGGTAAATCAAATGTAAGCTAGACACAGTAATTACCAAGCTCAAATGAGTTAATGTGTGTTTCTTATAGCAGTTAAAATATAGTCATTTTCGTTATTATTTATTTGAATTTTTAATTCAGTGATTTTAACTTTTAATGTTAGTTATTTTAATGCTTTAAAGAGCTATTTTAGATTGTAATGTCCTAAAAGTGATCATATTTTCTCCATTGCATCGTATTGCATCGAATCGCATTGTGTTGAATCGAATTCGGATCGCACTGCATCGTAACAGGGGTGAATCGCATCGGTAGCTGCTTCATATGTATCTTTAATGTATCGTATCGTTGGCTATGCATCGAGATGCGTATCGTATCGGCCTGAGTCATGAGATGCACATCCCTAATATATATACCCAGAACTGCAAGTTTATATCTCACTATTCTCACTTTTCTCCTCAGAATTACTAGTTTATATCTCGCAACTTTGAGTTTATATCTTGGAATTCTGAGTTTATTTCTTGCAATTCTAAATTTATATCTAATTTATATCTCATAATTCTGAATTTATATCTCAGAATTCTATTTAAGAGTTTATATCTCGCAATTCTAAATTTATATCTTGCTATTCTAAACTTATATCTTATTTATATCTAATTTATATCTCACAATTCTGAATTTATATCTCGGAATTCTAAATTTATATCATTTATATCTCACAATTCTGATTTTATATCTCGCAATTCTAAACTTATATCTTGCTATTCTAAACTTATATCTTATTCATATCTAATTTATATCTCACAATTCTGAATTTATATCTCAGAGTTCTATCTCACAGTTTATTTCTTGCAATTCTAAATGTATATCTTATTTATGTCTAATTTATATCACGATTCTGAATTTATATCTCGGAATTATCTCAGAATTCTGAGTTTATATCTTGCAATTCTAAATGTATACCTCGCAATTCTGAGTTGATAGAAAAAAACACAGAATTGTGAGATAAAATGTCGCAATTACCTTTTATTCTTTTAATTTTTTTAATCCTGTGGCAGCTTCCATAGAAATATGACCTGGACATGTTCTTGACAGTTTTTGTGGGATTAATCAATATAATGTTTCTGATACAAGCAAAATAGAAATGAATAGATGTACACATTTAAGTACATACACATTTACATGCATTTGATTCATCTGATTATAGGATGCATTAAATAAACCAGCACATAAAACTATGATTATTTAGAAGTGAAGATTACCTTGAATTGTGCACCGACGGACTGCTTCCTGGTCGAGTTAAAGTTGTCATCTGCAACTTGTAACTAAAATTAAAATGCACACAGTGTCATGTGGTGAAACGCTGCATACTGCGATCGCTCTCTGCTTAAAGTATCACTGATCTCACAGGAAAGACTAATTTGTCATTTGTACAGCTATAAATATGTTCTAAACACCAGCCTATCAAGGAATCTGGGAAATATTACAAAATGTGTTTTAACAGACACTGGTGTGTCAAAAAATAAACAAAAATTAAATCTTAGATATACCTTGGCTTTCCGTGGCATTAGTGTGCCTGTTCGGGAAATTGTGGCTGAAAAAATAGAAAAAAAAAGAAAGAAAGAAAGAAAAAAAAAAAATATATATATATATATATATATAACAATAATAATGAAAAAATTAATAAATGCTTTTGTTTGTTGGTTGAGGTTTA